AGGTCCCGAGCCGCGAGGACAGCGTTCCGCAGGTTCGACAGAAGGCAGATCGGATGCACTTCCCAACGCAAGAAGTCCGGAGCTAGAGCCGTCTCAACTTTTCCGCGGCGCTCGGAGTGTGCGCGTTCCGAGCTCCCGGCGTGTGTGTGCGCGAGCGAGACGCGCTCGGAGAGAGTGACTGAGTGAGCGTGTGCGCCGCAGCGATCCCGGCCAGTGCACTCCTCCTTCTCCTTTCCTCCACCTCCTCCGCCTCCCGGTGACTCACGCTGTATACACACACACTCACAGGCCGGGCTGTGTAAACAGTTGGGAAGCCGGGTTGTGCAATGAGGTGGCTGCGACGACTCGGGCCTTGCCGCCAGCGAGCAATCACCGGAGCGGAGGGGGAGGCGGAGGGTGGGGGGAGCAGAGGTGGAGCTGGGTCCGCGGGGGCGCTAGGGGTGGAAAAAAAACCTAGCACAATGGTCTGCGGGCACGCGCGCCGCCGTTCTCAGCACCCCCGCTCGCTGTCGCCCCGCCGTTAAGCCTTTGGCCACGGGGATCCCCCTCACAGCCCCGCGCCTAGGAACCTCCGGTTGGAGCCGTGGGCGCCGCTGAGGTCCGGGTGCAGCGGGAGGAAGGGAGGATAGGAAAGGTGATGAATTCCAGAACCAGTCATTCACCCCCACGCGGTAGTTCCGGGGAAGACCTGTGCGTGGTAGTGGATGTGGCTTTTTTTTTTTTCCCTTTTCCTGCCTCCCTCCCAGTTCTAATCCTCAGCGTCTGTTCGCTTCCACAAATAGAACCTTCTGTTGGATGAAATAAAAGCAAACACTAGGCCTTCTGCGCTGCCTCCACCTCCACGCCCCTCCCGCGCCTGCCACCCGCCCGGATTGAACGGAAATAGCTTCTCCAGGCTCCCCAGCCGCCCCTTCGCGGTGACTCGCAGAAAGAGCTTCCTGAGCCGCGGCCAGTGGGAAACAAAGGATGTGGGGAGCGGACGGAAGGGGCCCACGTGGCCGCCGCCCGATTCCTGCCCCCTCCCCAGACTCCACAGCAGAGCCTGGGGCCCGGCGCCAGTCCCGGTCTGTGGTGGGCGGGTAGGGGAGTGGAAGTCATTCTGGCCACAGACAATGATACTGCCTACACTAGGGCTACCCTGCCAGGTCGTGTGCGTGCATTCGTGCAGTGTGGTTTGGGTGAGCACGAAACGTATGCCAGACTCTGCACGGAGCTCCGAGGGGGTGGTGGGTGGGGAACACACACCTTATCTGTCATTTCCTTTAAAGAGAGAACCAGGTCAATTTGGAGTCTTTGCGCTTCTTCTGCTAATACTTAATTTTCTAAAACCAGGTCCAAGACCCAAGGATAAATCCTTTTCCATATTAAGTTTCCATTCATTCAACAAACACTAATTAAGCATCAACTAAGAGCTAGACGCTGAGGATTAAGAGATGAAAATTAAAATGATGCTAATAGCTAACATTACTGAGGTCCGTAATGTGTTAGGCACTGTTCTTAGCACTTAGACAGATTATTTCACTTGGTATTACAACTTCACTGTGGGGCTTTGTGTGCTGTGTTTTTCTGCCCCATTTTACAGGGGAAGAGGCCTGCGAAGAATTAGTTACTTACTGTGGTCAAGTCCCTAGTAAGTGGCGGCGCTTCAAGCTGGTAAGCACCAGTGGGGACTCAAAGGAGAGATTAGGATTTGCAGGGAGAAAAGAGGAAAGACTCCATCTAGGAAGCATTTGACCTGGGGGGCGTGGGGGATGGGGAGATGGTTGCTTAGGGGGAGGTATGATGGTGGGTGGCCAGGCTGGACCAGGTAGGGATGTTGGCTCAGAGGCCTGAGTGGCTGCAAGGGAAGCAGGGAGCTGAGCCTGCAGAAGTCCTTTGGGAAAATGTAAAGGCCCCAATGCCATGCTGAGTTGGTTGCACTCAGTCCTGTGGCCAGGAGAGAGCCCACCTGAGGTGTTTGGTCTTGAAAGTTTATTTTGGCCTGACCGGTGTGGCTCAGTGGTTGAGCGTAGACTTTATGAACCAGAGGTCATGGTTGGATTCCCAGTCAGGGCACATGCCTGGGTTGCGGGCTTGATCTCCAGTGTGGGGCGTGCAAGAGGCAGCCGATCGGTGATTCCCATCATTGATGCTTCTATCTCTCTCTCTTTTCCCCTCCCTTCCTCTCTGAAATCAATAAAAATATATATTTTTAAAATGTTTATTTGTGCCAGTATTTAGATCCACAGAACGGCCAGCTTCGCATCTGCACTTGGATGGCAAACTTAGCGAGGAATAGCAGTGTCTTCCTCCAGGTGTGCCCCTCCTTCGCTGCCTCCCCTGAGGGGCAGCACCACCTCACACTCCAGAATCCCTGACAGTCATTTCCCGCTGAAGCCACCCTTTTCCCGTCCCCCAGCGCCACTGGGTCCCGGGGTACACCTCAGACCGTTTGCTGTCAGAGCCATCCCTGTGCAGTTCCCTAGGGCTGCTGCTTGCAAACTGTTTC